AATTTTATTTATGTATTAAAATTTTTAAATTTAACGATAAATTTATTAAAATTTAATTTAAAATATGAGTTATTAAATAAATCAGTTGAAAGTTTGATTTTCTTAATAATTTATTATTTTTATTTTTATTTTTAAAATAAATATTAATACTTTAAAATTATAGATAATAAAAATAAATTCAAATTATAATATAATTATTTGTTTAAGAATATTTATTCATTACGAATCCTAATTATATTATAATTTATATATTAAAAAGTATTTATTTATTATAAATGTTAATTATATAAGAGCAAACATATATCTTACATATTATATTATACATGTTAAAATATTAATTTTTTTTTAAAATAAATGAAAATAGTATATGTTATTAATATTATAAAAGATAAAAATATAAAATTAGGATGGAGGAACTTAAATTTGAAAATAAAATATCTCAATTTCTTTGTATGCTTCAATGATTTTTAAATTGAATGTTTGTAGAAGAACTTTTGAAATTGTTTCAGCTGAATATATTGTTAAACTTATAAACGTTGTCTGTGGGTTAATGTTAGAACATGAGTGAATGGTAAGCATTAAGCAATAAAAGTGTGAAGAAAAATGCAACAGAAAAAAACCAAAACAATTAAGGTGAGAAGAATATACAAGATTCACTATAACAATTGGGAAGAATATAAGATTTCTCCATCTTGCATGTGAGAATGACTCGTTCATGTGTTTTTTCGATCAGAATAATAATATTCGAATTTAAGACTTTTAATATTATCTTAATTTTTATTATTCAATCAATCTTAATTGTATATATACTTCTATTTACATTAAAAAAATTATGACATTTATCGATCTAATATATTATTAGGTCTAAAATAAATTATAATTCAAAACATTTATAAGATTTTAAAAAGTAAAAAAAAAAAAAAAATAACGGTCCTTACAAAATAAAAACAATATTTTTTTTCAAAAATATTAAAATTCTATTTATCAAAAATGAACTTTAATTACTATTATACTAAATAAACTAATAATAAAACTTCTATAAATACTAATATATTCTGCATATTAGTTTGGAGGTATAAAGCAATTGATTCCCTCACTTTATGGTTGGATCAACCATATTAGCAATGTAACGACCCAGCTGGTCATCACACTCGGCACAGCACACTAGAAACACTAGACAAATAGAACAAGTATATAATATAGGATCTAGAATATATGTATATACAAGGTCCTAATCTGACTAGAGTTAGAGTGTACAACAAAATACATCAAAGTTACTACACTAGAACGGGCAGTTCTTTTGTACTCGTGGTGTGTTAATTTTGCATCTGGAACGGTCCGTTCATATGCAAAATTAACATACCAAGTGTGCACCTAGAACGGCCCGTTCTGGTTCCAGGTGTTTTCAAATTCAATTTGATCCCTCATAAATTAATTAGTTGCAATGTAGGACTTCCGTCCAAATTATTTAAACGGAGTTAACTGTTGGCCACGTGGCATTCACGTGGATGCCACGTAGATGTATAGGTGAATGCCACGTGAATGCCAAATTTTTTGAAAACACCTGGAACCAGAACGGCCCGTTCTGGTTTCAGAATGGGCCGTTCTGGTTGCACTTTTAGTGTGTTAATTTTGCATCCGGAACGGCCCGTTCCAGATGCAAAATTAACACATTAAAAGTGAAACCAGAACGACCCATTCTGGTTTCAGAACGGTCCGTTCTGATTCCAGACTGCTAAACACAAACGGTCAATGATTATAGTTCACGGTTGTGAATCCTGGAAGGAAAAAAACCCAAGGTACAAAACATTTCAAACACTGGATTTGGTAATATTGTCAATGAAAATTGATAACTTCAATTGCTAAACAGTTGGGTTATACAGTGTATCATTAAGGACAATGCAGTGTATCAATAAAGACAATGGTAACAGATTTTATTTTATTGTTAGTCAAATTGGAGTGAACAACTTACTACCAAATTATATATATTATTAATTATATTTTAATTATCTTGTTATATCTAATATAATAAATACATTAATATTTTTTTTATATTTTTTATTGTTTAATTATTTTTTATTTTTTGGTAAAATTATCTTCATTTTTAATGAAGAAAAAATTTACTTACTTCAAGATTAAGTCTTGATAGATTTATTTTACTTAATAATTAATGTTGTATATCAAATTTTTAAAAATTTAATTGTTAAATTAAAAAGCTTTTCATGTATAGATCAAATTTATAAAAAATTTTAAAAAATTAAAAATCATATGATACTTCATTAAATTAATTCAAAATAACATATAAAATATTTTTGTTTTAAATGAGTGTAAAAATTTAGAAGACATTAAAAGAAAACAAATTAATACTTTTATTATGTTTATCCTATTAATTTTTATCATTTTATTCCTCTAATTTTAAATAATTTGTAAAAAATTCTTAAGTGACACTTAAATATTTCTTCAGACAGAAAGAGAAAAGGAAAAGTTATCACTCTATTTATAAGATAATTGTATTTTATAAAAATAAGTAATTTTAAAATTTTTACCATAAAAAAAATCCAAAGTTATTATAGTTCTGGAACAGGTCGTTCTGAATCTAGAACGGACCGTTCTGAATCCAGACGTTCTGAAACCAGAACGGGCAGTTCTTTTGTACTCGTGGTGTGTTAATTTTGCATCTGGAACGGTCCGTTCATATGCAAAATTAACATACCAAGTGTGCACCTAGAACGGCCCGTTCTGGTTCCAGGTGTTTTCAAAGAATTTGATATCCATGTGGCATCTACCTATGCCGTGTTTGAGACCGTTGATAGAATTAAACTGATTTACAGTTATAACAAAAGTACTTCAACGGAAATCTCAACACTACACCACAGCAAAATCAGCAATATCAGCAATATCAGCACCGCTCGGCGGCTATAACAGCACCACAATAGTGGCTAACAGCACCGACATAGCGGCTATAACAACACCACAATAGTGGCTAACAGCACAACACAGCACAATTATTAAGCATACAACACAGCTAAGTAGTATTCAACACAGCTTACTACTCACAACTCAGCTCATCATTCTAGAGCACAGCAATATCATATTACAACATTTAAAACTTATCAATAATAGCCAGCTCAGCACAACATTATACATCTATCAACAACTTAACATCATAATCAGCATAAAACAGCCTCTCTCAGCAATCTCAGCAAGGTTATACAGCTAATATAACATCAAAATAACATTCTCATATGTGCCCGGCGCACCTATTTCTGCGCCCGGCGTGGCACATCCAGAGGGTACCAGGGACCAGCACGCCCGGCGCAATACTTATTGCGCCCGGCGTGAGGGAAGGCAGAGACCTCATAAGGTCTCACACGCCCGGAGTACGAACCCGCGCTCGACGCAGGGTAAGCAGAGACTATTCCCAAGTCTCACGCCCGGCGCAATATACATTGCGCCCGGTGCCACCTCTGGCAGAGACTCCCATGGAGCCTCTACGCCCGGCGAGAAAAGCCAAGCCCGGCGCAACACCAGAACCTCAAAACTTGAGTCATCCACTGATATCACGTCCAGCGCTGTTCCACCACGCCTAGCGTGAGCCATCCAGAGACTCACATCCTCAATCTCGCCCGGCGCATTCACCATTGCGCCCGGCGTGATTGCCTAAATGGAGTCTCTGATGGTCACGCGCCCGGCACGAAGAACTACGCCCGGCGTGCTACCCAGCAGTAACCTTCAAACTTTCGAAAATCTCATCAAAACCTGCAAAATAACCAGGAAAACCCACATGCAATCGGCCCGGAGTAGTACACTTTCAGCATAGAGTTCAAAAATACTATCTTTTCATCCATGCATGCAACAATCAAGAAAAACCCAATTTCTCAAAAAAAACCCAAAAACCTCCAAAAGTTCATTTTTCAGCAATCTCAACCAAAGAATCATCCATCATCAATTAGCAAATGAGTATCTAAGACTCATTCCCAACCAAAATAACAAAGTAACTAGCTTCCCTTACCTCGGTAGAAGATTCCGAGCTTCGGGAAGAAGGCCATCCAAGAAGAAGAAAAACGGATGGAGAGGAAGAAATTGTGAAGGAGAAGAAGCTCCGCACAGCCCAGCTAGTTCGGTTTAGACTTGATCAACACCTATACCCACCAAGAAGAAAACCACGGTGAGAGAAGAGTAAGCGAATGTTTTCTTCTTTGAGAGAAAAGTGAGTAAACAGGAAGAAGAGTTGGAGTATGGATAAGAATAAAATGGGAAAGGAAAAGGTAGGGTCTCACATGCAATAAGAAAATGATTGGTATAAATGACAAAAAATAAATGTTAACTTTTATACATATGATGTATTGTGAATGAGTATCCTATATCATAGTTGACAAAAAATATGATTAATTTGAACGAATATTTTTAGTTCAAAAAATTAGTACTCTCAATTGGGAAACACTTTTAATAAATAAAAAAAATATTAAACTATATTTTTAATTCCTATAATTTTAGTTCCTGTAAATAAAATTATTTACTTTTCTTCCTCTAAAATTAAAATACGTTCATTTCACATGAACTAAATACATATTTAAATTTAAGAAAATGTGTAAAATAAATGAATAAATAAATAAATAAATAAAATTTAATAAATAAAAATATAAGTTTAAACAATTTTAGTAAACTTATGATTAATTCAAAGAAAACATAAATAATAATGATAGTAAGAAACTTCGAACACAACAATATTTTGATTAACTTCATATTTGAATGAAGAAATTAAGTCAAGCTAATTGTAAAAGATTTTTTTTACTTAAGAGCCACAAAATAGTGGTTCAAAATCATGGTTTATCTCACTTAGGAATGAATTATCCATGTTTACCCGTCAAAAACAAATAAATAAAGAAAATTCTTTTTAACACTAGATCAAATTCACAAATTGAGTTAAAAGAACTAAAATATGTTAATAATTTATTACATTTAATCTAAGAAATTTTTCTTATCTGGTTACTTGGAAAATTTGTAAATATACTTTACAACTTAAAATTGTAATTTATCATTTTAAGATATTCTTTTCTCTTCATGTTAGACTAAAAAACAAAAAGTTAAAACAATCTTTGCATACAAAAAGTGCTTGTTTTTGTTAACCGTCCTTTATTAAAAACCTATTAGGTGAACTAATAAGCAAAGATAATTAAACAACGCCCTGACATGGAACAAGAAAACATATCAAGTAATACACACTTAGTCACAGCTAGATTTAATTAGAAAATAGTTAAAAGTAAAAAAAATATATAGAATAATTTATAAAATTTTAATTTTCATTACGATTTTTTTATATATATTTCAAAGATTATAATTTAAATTATTAAATACATCTGAACAACTGTTAACAATTACATTATTATGTTGTTTATTATCGTGATAAGATTGTAAATTTTCATAAGAATTATTTTAAAATTTATATATAAGATAATTTTTAGCCAATAATATATATAAATAAAAGAAAAAAAATCAAATTATACTTCCTAAAATCGAACTACTATGTCAAGATAATCATATAAAATGTATTTTTTAATTATTTAATTATAACTATGTTATTGAATTTTGTATCATTTTTTATAATAAAATCATTGATTTATAATAAGATATTATCTTAATTATTTTTAAAATTGAACAATTATACTTATAACTAAATAATTATATATTTTTATAATTAAATTTGTGATTTATAATTGTAACAAAAATATTAATTACAAAATAACAATTGTTCATCTCAACTAAAAGTGTATAAGCTTTGTTTATAATCTTATATTTTTGACATCCATATGAAAAAACTTTTATTCTTATAATTATTTGTGGTAACATGTAACTCTATCTAAATTTTTTGAGGAGGGATCTGTTTACTTTAACAGTAAGTATACTTAAATTTACTTTGTTCAATAATTCATACTTTACATTAAATTTTAACGATTTAACTGTTAAATTTAAAATTATTAATATATAGATCAAGTCTTCAAATTTTTAAAAAATTTAAAAATTATTTAATATCTTATTTCACTAATTCAAATTAATAAATAATTATAAATTATTTTATACATTAATTTGAATTAATAAAATAAAATATAAATAATTTTTAATTTTTTAAATTTATAAATTTAATTTTTACATTAAAAATTTTAAATTTAATGATTAAATTGTTAAAATTTAATATAGAACATAAATTATTAATTAGAATAAACTTAAATAAACTAAAATATAAATTATTGATCAAAATAAACTTAAAACTCCTATAATAATGGGGTTCTTTAAAACTCTCCCGTCATCATAAAATTTAAATCCCTCATCTGAAAGTTATTCTTCAGAGGTCCTACAAACTACTCCATTTGCTTTTAAATATTCACCAAAACCTATGAAACTATTTTTTTACAATAGCTTTAAAATAATTGTCACCTCACATTTCACCACATTACAACAATATCAATAACAAATAATCATATATATTTAGTTTAATAATTAAACAATCACACTCACTTAAATTTTGAATCTGATTTTGAGTTATACCAAACATAATATGTACTTATACTTTAAATGCAAATTTCAGTTACATAAAATATAATATGTATTAAAATAATTTTAGGTTTCATAATAAAATTCCAGTTTCAGTTATAAATATTAAAATATATTTATAATAATGTTTTGTCCTTCAGGTTAGGGATCAGATCGGTCAGAGGGAGAGTGCCCAATAGTCGTAACCAGGCTGGGGCGGACACCCCACTCGCTTTTTTTGTGCGAGATTTCACCACTCTTCATTTCCCATTAACTGCCTGAAGGATCATGAGGAATTTCTGAGCAATTTTTTCCTCTTAAAGCTGCTAATTTCATTCTATATACTAGTATCATCCGATGTGGGACTCAGACATTTATCCGCTGGTTACTTATTGTTTCCACAAGTTAACTAGTTAATTCACAATGTTTCGAGTAATAAGTAAACTATCACACTAACTGGGGCTTATTTTAAAGGGATTTGAGAGAAGGGGTGGATACGAGAGAATTTAATTTAATAAAAACGTACATGTTTGGTAGAAGTGAATTAGAAAATAATTGTGAAAAAAAATTTAGTGTGGGTCCCACAGTTGGAGAATCACTCTCTCAAAAATGGATTTTCTCATGGAATTAGACACAATGACAAATATAACCCATATATATATTTTATAATGCAATGATTTTCGATTATCTCTATTCCAGTATGAAGTATTATTTGCTTAAGCCTACTCCAATATGAAGTGGAATTCGATTATACTTACTTTTTAGTTACTTAATGCTCTATACTATACTATACTATACTATACTATACTATACTATATCGTATGTATATATATATATATTATATTATATTTAATATATAAAAAATAATTTACTCACTTTTATATGTGAATATAAAGAGGGGTAAAATGATACTTTTATATATTATTTATTTATTTATACATAAAAATCTAATCTAATTATATAAAATACAATTTTAAAATACCAATTTTTTTTCAATTTCTCACATAATTCCATTTTACTAAACAACTAAAAATTTTATTCTATTTTTTTACATATTTTCTCTCCTCTCCCAAACCAAGCATATATAAGATTTAATACATTTTTCTTTTATAATTTTTATTAAATTAAATTAAGCTATAAGGTTGTATGTTTCCGCCCTCTCCAGTTAGCTATAACTGCAAGTTAATTTGGGCGTAAATAAAGTTTAATTACTGTCTATCATGCTAGTATAGTCGAGGTTATATAGAAGTAGAGGACATAGAGCAGAGAAAGAGTTTCAAACTTGGCGTTTCTTCAATAAATCTGCACAACAGTGAAGTATCAGAGTGATGGCTAAAATTAAAGTTTTCTATTAAATGATGCTCAAATCAATGGAAAAAAAGTATAAAAAAGAGGATTGGACAGAATGTTCTTACACTTGATTCTATTATATAATCCATCTTTACTCCTTTCTCATTGAGATTCTTTTCTATGTAAGTAGTAACTCATTCCTATCATTTACTAAAGAAATTAACCCAGCTTCATATTAATCATCTCATGCTCCGAAGGCTTTACAGAATGATAATAGCAAATAAGATGATTCAAGAGTGTCAAGCATGCATTTCTGACGAAAGCCCACATCGGGTGGCATACAAAGAGGTAAATTGCCTATGTTATAAAAAAGGAGTGATGCATACCTACTATGATACGGAGCCGTGTGATAGAAACAGAGCGAACTATTCTTTCGCCTTTTACTAAAGAATACCGTGTTTCTGTCACATATAATCGGCATACGCCTATTTTTGAAGGAGTCTTCCTAATTGGAGGACTCAGCAAGGCAGTTCAAAAGTTTTAGGTCTAAATGGTTGTGGTTTATCATTTGGTTAGAAAGGTAGGTGGTCAAATGACTTTAAGTTTCAATGGTTGTGGTTTATTATTTGATTAGAAAAGTAGGTAATCAATGACTAGTTAAGTTTTAATGGTTCTGGTTTATAATTTGGCTAGAAGACTAGGTGCTCAAATGACTTGGGATTTATCTTATAATCTTCAACAAATTACATTAGTAGAGAAGAAATACAATCAAATTTCAATTAACAATGTTTGAACTAATATAGCATAATCTTCCAAACATTAAGACTCTTTAAAATTAAATCCTCTTTAAAATGCCTGAACTATTAATGAAAAGCATCATAAATTGCCCTTTTTATGATTTTTTCAAGTTGTTTTATATTGTTAAATTGAAAATTGAACTGTTAATTAGTCTAAGGATCATGTTTATTTTTAGTATATTCTTATAAACTATTTATTTTTCAAAGATTTTAAAGAGAGGAGTTTTGATTCTTATAAACTATTTAGGTTAGTAGTGTTGAGATTAGTTGGTGCAGAGTCGAGAATTCTCTTCTTCCTTGTTTAGTTTTGATTTTGAGGTAATTAATTAGCTTCGATTATGAGGTAAGAGAAGTTGGGCTTATGTTTTGTTTGTTGTATATTGGATTTGTTGAATGATTATGGTGTTTAACATTATTTGAATTTTGAACTACTATGGTTGAATTAATTGAAATGGTGAAGAGTTTGTGAAGGTTGAGGTTTGAGGTTTATGAGAAAGAATATGATGATTTTCTATGTATTGTTGCATGTTAGTTTTTGAGTTGGACTTAAGTTGTTTGTGTAAAGTAAAATCGATATTCCATATTGCATGGGTTGGGTTGTTATTGCATTGCAGACTTTGGGTCAAAATTGGGTTCTGCATATGCGTAATTCTAATATCATGTCGAGCGGCCTTTATGGCATTGAACATCGTTCTAACTTGATACTCTCTATCTTGATTCCATTGGGCACAAGATTGATGGTGTCGAATGTGAGGAGAGAGACTCATCTCGAGTTAATATGATGTCAAGCATGGTTTGAATGGTGTCAGGTGTGAAAACTTTGATAAGTCTCTAACTTGATGACACTGGACCCAAAGTTAAGTGACGCCTAGCTTGGCCAAGTAGAGCTTTCTGCCAAGATGACATCAAGCGCCAATAAGGCGATGCCGAGTATGAATCAGGTATAGACTCTTTGCCTGATACGGGGTCAAGCATGATACTTTACCACGCTAAGCATGAGGTCTCAAGACCTCTGCCTTAGCCACATTGGGCGCAAGTTATGTAGCGTTGAGCATGGGCGAGGTAAATAGTTCCCTACTTAAATGGTATCGGACGCTAGTTGCTGAAAAAAAGTTGTTGAATTATGTGATAAATTGCTTGTTAATTGAGTTGTGTGTTGACTAAGTATGGATGAATGAGTTGCATGGATGTTGTTGTATGTGTTGATTTCATTATGAGTTGTTAGTTAAAAGTTGAAACAAGTTGTAAGTTGTGTATTTGTGTAGTAGTGTTGAATGTTGCTATAAGCATGACATTGTTGTGTTATTGAGATGATGAATGTTGAGAATGATTCACACATTTAGCCATGATGTTTTTGAGCTATAATGACCAACCTAGAACTAAAGGAGAGATTTTTGAAAGTTGTATATCCTATTGTGTGGATATTGTGTCGTGATGGTCTGAGAGTCTAGTTTGTTAAAAAATCCTTCTTGAAAAGTTGACCATTGAAGTTGATAGTTGTGTTGATTCTCTTCTAGGACTTAGTTGGTATCGTGTGTGGACAAAGTTGAAACACACATGTATGAAGAAATTATAGTATTGGGGTCAAATCAAACTATACTGATTTCAAGTGATCAATTGAGTAAAGTACGAAGTCAAAAACTTAGTTCCTAACCGAGTATTAGAAGAGTATAATATTTGGAGGGTAGTCAATAGACTAATCCTATAAGAGGCTTAGTTAAGTTAACTAATATCGTGGTAGATTTATACCTAGTTATTCTACCCTAACAGTAGAACTAATGTTCCTTATTCAAGTGGCGACATCCAAGAAATTGAGTTGTTGTGTTGTGGATTTATATCCAATTTGTTGTTGATCTAGCAAGTCCAAAAGGATCACCCTATGATGTTAGTTTAGTAGGATCAAGCCGCTTAAACTATTCATCATATATTGTAGGAGATCATATAGTTGAAATGTGTGATGACGTATGTAGTTACTGGGTTGTAAATACTATGTTGTAAATACTATGTTGTTATGATGATCAATCTATGTTAAAAATATTGTGATGTTGAATTGATATTATGTTGTGATAGAATGAGTTGTTTGTGCTAATGTGTTAAATTTGAGTTGTTATGCTAATATGTATTGTTGTACTGTGATATCTTCTATTGTCCGTGTTAGAGATGATGATGTGATGATATATTTAAAGTTGTTAATGATTTATGTTGTACATATGTTTTTTAAATTGTAGTTTATCTTTATGTGTCTTCATGTAATTTGGACTGTAATGATCATAGTGGTATGAGAGCGAGATAGTAATAGGTTGGAGTGATGCAATGAAGGTCATTCAGTGGCGTTGTACTACCTTTTTAGGGTGATTTTGTATATGTTGTAGAAGTTGCTCAACCAACAACTTAGGTTGTATGGTTTACTACTAGTTGGATTACTATATATACACATTTGTTGAGGTGATTTACTAATATATGCATGATATATGATATATTCAGGTGCTAGTATGCTTACAACTCTAAAATATTATTAAATTTTTGTTGCTAATAATTATGTCGTATAATATAGAGATCATGGTCAATCGTTACAGTAAGTAACTTACCTAATACTATTCGTTGTGAATTTTGATCAGAAATAAAGGCACCACACTTCATATATTCTCTACACTGTGAGACTCCTAAATAAAAGTCCAAGAGACTGCTATTACTATCTTCTTTAATTCATTCATTATGAATACTTGATATTTTGATCTAACTTTCTTATCTTTCCTATTACAAATCTACTTTTCTTTGAGATTTTTTTGGGATAATTATATTATATGCTATGTTAATTTCTTTCAAAGTTGTTACCATACTCATCTTTGAGTGTTCGTCACATGAATTTGTAAAATGTTTTGAGGTGTGGATTAAAGCTAACTATTTGCTATGACTATAAGCAAAGATCAAAGATTTTAAAATCATCTCATTATTATTGTATTTTAAATTTATATTTCTATGTTACACTCATTAATTATGCAATACAGGAATAACACTAGTTGGACCAAAGACCAGATCCCTTGTCCATATTAAAATGAGGAAGATTGGATCCAAAGCTAAGAATGCATAAATTAGTTCGGTTTCTAAAATGAAACTGAACTAATCCTCCTCCATGAGAATACACTCTTAAGTTGTGTCGATGATATAACTAAATCAAAATATGGTTTCTAAATCAGAAGAAAATATTAAATAAACTTGATTACCACACTTGTTATTTGACATAATCCTGCAAGAATTCCATTAACCAGATGGATAATGGCCAGAAACAAATGAACACATGCAAGTGTTGAGGTTATTTTTATGGTATTTGTCTGAGAGGATATTTTATGAGGTTGTTTTTATAAGGTTATTACACAAACATACTCAATGATGAGATATTGTCCGCTTTGGGCCTTAACCCTCACGGTTTTGCTTTTGGTCATCACCCAAAAGGCCCCTCAATCATTGAAGTATGTTTGTATTATATAAGTTGTTATTTTTAGGCATATCCAACCTGGGGCTCTGATACCAGAGATGGGGTTATTTTATGGTATTTGTCTGAGAGGATATTTTATGAGTTATTTTTATAAGGTTATTATACAAACATAACCCACAATGATGAGATATTGTCCGCTTTGGGCCTTAGCCCTCACGGTTTTGCTTTTGGTCATCACCCAAAAGGCCCCTCAATCATTGAAGTATGTTTGTATTATATAAGTTGTTATTTTTAGGCATATCCAACCTGCGGCTCTGATACCAGAGATGGGGTTATTTTATGGTATTTGTCTGAGAGGATATTTTATGAGTTATTTTTATAAGGTTATTATACAAACATAACCCACAATGATGAGATATTGTCCGCTTTGGGCCTTAGCCCTCACGGTTTTGCTTTTGGTCATCACCCAAAAGGCCCCTCAATCATTGAAGTATGTTTGTATTATATAAGTTGTTATTTTTAGGCATATCCAACCTGCGGCTCTGATACCAGAGATGGGGTTATTTTATGGTATTTGTCTGAGAGGATATTTTATGAGTTATTTTTATAAGGTTATTATACAAACATAACCCACAATGATGAGATATTGTCCGCTTTGGGACTTAGCCCTCACGGTTTTACTTTTGGTCATCACCCAAAAGGCCTCTCAATCATTGAAGTATGTTTGTATTATATAAGTTGTTATTTTTAGACATATTTTATCGATGTGGGACTTGTTTGAATCCCAACAGCAAGGCGTTGGTTGTTACTTTTGAAAACTTCTCTATATATGACAACAGCCAAAACAAATTGTTGTAACTATCATTGGAGCTAAATTAAATGGAATCTTATCACTTGTCAATAGACTTTATGACTAGTTTTATAAACTGTTAGTTTTGACTTTTGAGGTCCCAATACACATTTGACTTCAAATAATATAATTAACACTTTTAATATGTGAATTCACTTTTTAAATAGAGACTCATGCCCACTATTAACAGAGTGAGATTTCACATTAAAAATAACTAATCTTGATCTGATAAGAGCAAGTAATCTTGTTATTAATATATTGAGATATATCACCAAAAGAAGAATTAACGAGTATGATTTTTTTTTTTAATAACATAAGACTAAAAAGTCTTTTCTGTATGTATCAAGTAATTCATGGAGAACTGCACATATAACCATAATATCTCAGTATCATACCATTACAAACAGATTAAATCATTCAAGGTAGAAATATCTTT